ACTGATTTAAATTATACATGTGCACTAGTAAAGGCACATAGGATGTTTCACCATAGGCTAACCTGACATTGAAAACCAAAGTTTTCCACCTAGAATGCAACAGCTTATTTCATTTTTGCTTAATTCAACAATTCCATAGCAAATCGTGAAAATCAGAAAATCCTCTTCTTTTTTAAAGTACAACTTTCTGTGAAAAGTGTTTGTAAGCTTTAAAGACCACTTGGAGACAATGTAACACTGCAAAAATCTCTGTCTGTTCATGCCACTTCAATATATACAACAGCACTTTCCTAAAGGAGTTAGGCCCATTTAAGAAACATACTTTCATTACGCTTAAAACTAAATTACAGGTTTAACAGATTTGAGAAGAATGGGAAGAGAATGGGAAAATGTGATGCTGTGAAATGCTCAGATCATTTATGCAATTAAAAAAAACCCAAAAACAAACAAACCCAAAAACAACTATAAAAACCAGACACAGACCTGCAAAGAACCACTCTCATCAGTTTCAATTTACATCCTACATCTCTACAAAAGCTACAAACTTCTGTAATGTAGCTCTTTCATCACTAAACATTTACTAGTCCTTCTGGCTTAAATAAAACAAGCCATGACAGCTTATCAATGAATATATTGGGATTAGCTGGCTATCACACATAAAAGCAAACAGGAGAGAAGAGTACAGAAGCTTTCTTTGCTTCACATGAATTTGGCAACCAGAAAGTTTGCTAAAAAAACTCAGCACAAGAAAGGACATCTGGCAGTCACCGAGACCCATTTAGCAGCACCCTTCCCAACTAAACACGCCTCAGTATTGTGACCATGGCTTATTTTCTCCCACCTTTCTTTTGATTTATCTGATATATTTAAAATTATTAAGTTGAAAATATTGTCTTTTTGGGGTGGAGAGGAATTTAACATTAATCACTGTTTTCTTTGTAATATCTGCCTTATTATAAATATTTTATCAAAGACTTCTACAGCGTTTTTGCCAATTCATCTTTCACAGAGAATCTCAGAGATTCGACCCACATCATCACGTTTGAAAGTCTTACACAAAACTTCTTCAAACTGTATTTTACCTTCCATTTTATTGGCCAAACCAAGTCTTCAGGAGTTTTCCATTAAGTAAATAACTGACTTCATCAACTCGCTACTCATTACTTTTTCTCTGAACAGTATTTGCAGATTATCCAGCTAGCAGAATGATTTTTAACTAGAAACTTAATCCAGTAAGAGGACTGTTACCTAAAAGCCAACAAACTGTAAATATCAACTATTTCTGAATCAAGTAACCAGTGTCCTAAACCACACTATAAATAGACACAGCCATCTGTCTGGTTTGCCCCTTCTCCTCATTACTTTAACTTGTCTATCTCCCAGGGACACAATCTTACCACGGAGCGTGCCTGGTTTCACTGCCTGCCTCTTGCCTCCAAAAAGCTGCAGCCAGGGGGGACGACCACCATCCATGACACCACCACCCCCAACCCCCCCCCCCGCGCACACACTACCA